TGGAGGAGAAATATACAGAGGAGAAATACCTGCAGGAGAAAAGCATGGAGAAATTCATGCATGAAAAATATACAGAGGAGAAACACATGCCGGAGAAATACACGGAGGGGAAACGCATCCAGAAACACACACACGGTAAACACTCGCCTCATATACGCTGCTAAATGCTGTTAAAACTACAACAACTGTGTGTTTGTGAATGTTTTCCTGAGCAGCTTTACTTTCATGCTGTTCTATAAGTATTTAGTCTATAATATTTAAATTACACTGAAAACTAAACAGAAAAAAATGTTTTACATGTAAAAAACAAGGTTTTCTAGTTGTTTATTCGTGTGTAAATCAGTGTACTGAATGTTGACGGCTCCATCACTGTTATTTAATATAGCACAGAGTGAAGTTCTGCCTGTCGATGAACACATTTAAAATGACGTCCTTTCTGTTGTTGTCAATTCATGATTTGATGTAAAGTGATCATTTAAAATACTCTTTTGTTTTTATTTCTGAAGTTTTACTAAAGATTTGTAAACATAGTTTTAAACGAAAGTTAATTGTAAACTTTTTAACACAAGAATAAGTGACGTTTTTAAAAAATAGAAGAAGAGATAAACGAATAATAATAGGAAACTTTAGTGTTTTTTATATACTTTAACTTTTATTTATTTTCTAATTTAATTAAAAGTATAAAATAGCTCAGAAAAACAGAATTATTCTGTCAGTATTAAAATAGTTTACATTTTTTTTTTATGTAAAATAAAAATGAAATCAAAGTTAATCCATATTAAATTCAGCCCTGGTGTTGCACACCGCAAGTATTTTCACTAATAATGTTTGTATATGATGCATTTGTTTATGATTTACCAACAGATTGTACAACCAAAGTCATACTAGATGAATATGCAGAATTGTAACAGCGTTACTGCAGATATTGATTAGTGTCTACTCGTTGTTTGAAGCTAAGGTGTGCAGTCTGAATGCATTTGTGTTCATATTATTGTCTTTTTATACATGTAGTTCATTTTATCGTATGGAGAGCTCGGCTGTGATGTGTATTTCCCTTTGGGATTAATATAGTCTAAAACAAATTAAAACTAAATTAATATAAATGTTCTTTAAAAACCTTTTTAAATAAATGTAAAAATTAAATAATTATTAAATGACAATTATTTGTTTTTAAGCCGCTGTTTTCAATTATTATTATTAATATTAGAGGCTTTTTTAAATAGCACATTAGTTTAAATGTAAAAGCAGGTTATAAATTCAAATGTAATGAATGGAGAAAATTACATTTGAATCACAGTAGATAAACAAATAATATTAAAGTAAAAATCAAAGTTAACCTGAAATTAGGTTAAATTTAATTAGGGTAAAATTAGGCAAGTCATTGTATAACAGTGGTTTGCTCTGGACAATCCAACACTAATATTGCTCAAGGGGGCGAATAATGTTGAGCTTAAAATGACTTTAAAACTATTAAAAACTGCTTTAATTCAAGCCCAAATAAAACAAATCAGACTTTCTCCAGAAGAACAAATATTAGAAGAAACACTGTGAACATTTCCTGAATCTGTTCAACATCATTTGGGAAATATTTAACAAAGAAAACACATGAATGTGAATATTTCAGACTTCAACTGTGTATATACACTGTATATTCATATGTATCCAGCTCATATGTGTGTCTGTGTGCTCAGAGTCTGGCTTCAGCAGCAGCACAGAAGATGAGGAGTTGTCCGGCTGTGAGAGTGAAGGCTCCCGCAGTGAAGGCTCAGGCTCTCGGTCCCCTGCAGCTCCTGGATCTGTGGCTCCGGCTTCAGGCTCCGGGTCTCCCTCTAGTGGCCGGCGGCCGCGCACCGCCTTCAGCAGCGAGCAGATCAGCAGTCTGGAGCGAGTCTTTAAGAGGAACGCGTATCTGGGGGCGCAGGACAAGGCGGAGCTCTGCAGAACACTCAAACTCACCGACAAACAGGTACACAACCATTAGCATTCAATACTGTTTTGTTGTAAAGACGTTGCTATTGGGTTATTAATATGTTTCGGTTTAAAAAGTTACCATTAAATTATCAAAACATTAACATTCACTTATTACTATTTTGTTATAAAAGTTCACCATACAGTTATCATAACATTTGCGTTCACTTATTAAAGTTTTACCATTTGGTTTTAAAAATATACCATTTATTTATCAAAACATTAACGTTTGGTTATAATTTGTTATCTATCGATTATAAAAACAAAACCACTTGCTTATCAGAACGTTGCTTATTCAATTATAAAAGTCTTGCCATTCAGTTATCTAAACATTAACATTCAGTTTTAATAACTTTAACTTATTAAAACGTTACTATTTGGGTATAAAAACGTTACCATTGAGTTATTAAAATATTAATGTTCACTTAGCAAAACATTACCATTCATCTAAAAAAAGTAACCATTTAGTTATTAAAATATAACTGTTTGTTTATCAAAACAATTAAATTTGCTTTTTAAAATGTTTCCATTCAATTATAAGTATATTACTATTCAGTTATCAAAACTAATCAACTTTAATTCATTAAAATGTTACCATTCGTTTATCAAACTGTTACCATTCATTTATCAAAATATTACTGTTCGCTTATCAAAAATGATTTAATTTCCTTATTAAAACATTTCTGTTCAGTTGTAAAGATATTACCATTCAGTTACCAAAATTTTAACTTTCATTTATTAAACATATATTTTCGTTATAAAGGTGTAATCTTTCATTTATCAAAACATTAACATTTACTAAGCAAATAATTAACATTCATTTATAAAAACGTTAGCATTCAGTTATCTAAAAGCTGGTTTTCAGTTATAAAAAAAATTACCATTCAGTTAGCAAAACATTACAGTTTACTTAGCAAAAAGGAAAAAGGAAAAGGTTCCATTTGGTTATTAAACTAAAAAAATATTACCATTTGCTTTTCAAAATGTTATAATTTGTTAATTAAAACGTTACCATTTAGTTATAAAAATGTTATCACTCAGTAATCAAAATATTCTTGTTCGTTTATCAAAATGTTACCATTCACTTATTAAAATATTTCTGTTTGCATATAAAAACGTTACCATTCTGTTATAAAAACACAACCAGTCTTTATAAAAAAAAGTTACAATTTGGTCATCAAAACATCAATTATTAAAATGTTACCATTCATTTATCAAAATATTACTGTTTGCTTATATTTATTCGTTCAGTTATAAATATATTACCATACAGTTATGAAGACTTGTCAACTTTTGTTTATTAAAATGTTACCAATTGGTTATAAAAATAATATGATTATTAGCTAAACATTAACGTTCAGTTATAAAAATTTTATGATTATTAGCTAAACATTAACGTTCAGTTATAAAAATGTTATGATTATTAGCAAAACATTAACGTTCAGTTATAAAAATGTTATGATTATTAGCAAAACATCAACGTTCAGTTATAAAAATGTTATGATTATTAGTTAAACATTAACGTTCAGTTATAAAAATGTTATGATTATTAGCTGAACATTAACGTTCAGTTATAAAAATGTTATGATTATTAGCAAAACATCAACATTCGGTTATAAAAATGTTATGATTATTAGTTAAACATTAACGTTCGGTTATAAAAATGTTATGATTATTAGCTAAACATTAACGTTCAGTTATAAAAATGTTATGATTATTAGCAAAACATCAACATTCGGTTATAAAAATGTTATGATTATTAGCTAAACATTAACGTTCGTTTATAAAAATGTTATGATTATTAGTTAAACATTAACGTTCGGTTATAAAAATGTTATGATTATTAGCTAAACATTAAAGTTCGGTTATAAAAATGTTATAATTATTAGCAAATTATCAACGTTCGGTTATAAAAAAAAATTATGATTATTAGCAAAACATCAACGTTCGGTTATAAAAATGTTATGATTATTAGCTAAACATTAAAGTTCGGTTATAAAAATGTTATGATTATTAGCAAAACATTAACGTTCAGTTATAAAAATGTTATGATTATTAGCAAAACATTAACGTTCGGTTATAAAAACGTTATGATTATTAGCTAAACATTAACGTTCGGTTATAAAAATGTTATGATTATTAGTTAAACATTAACGTTCAGTTATAAAAATGTTATGATTATTGGCAAAACATTAACGTTCGGTTATAAAAATGTTATGATTATTAGCAAAACATCAACGTTCGGTTATAAAAATGTTATGATTATTAGTTAAACATTAACGTTCGGTTATAAAAATGTTATGATTATTAGCTAAACATTAACGTTCGGTTATAAAAATGTTACGATTAGTAGCTAAACGTTAACGTTCAGTTATAAAAATTTTATGATTATTAGCAAAACATTAACGTTCAGTTATAAAAATGTTATGATTCAGTTAGCAAAATGTTAAAGTTTGGTTATAAAAATGTTTGTGGTTGACTATAAAATGTTATGATTCTGTAGCAAAACGTTAATAATAATCTGCCTGTTTTTTTTTTTTTTTCTCTCCATCAGATCAGAAACTGGTTCCAGAACCGGCGCATGAAGCTAAAGCGGACGGTTCAGGACAGTCTGGCTCAGGCCTGTCAGGTGAAGGTGGCGTCTCACATGATGCATTATTCAGATCTGCACAGTTTCAGAGCCGCTCCGTATCCCAGTTTCTACCCGGAGACTCCAGCAGCGTTCGCACCCCCGTATCCCATCAGCCCCGCAGCAGAGAGCCTGTATTACAGCAGCTACCAGAACCTCCAGGGCGTCCCGAGCATCCCCGTACATCCCTACCAGTATTACAGCACACACTGACGGATGACACACAGCGGGACGGCGTGCAATAATGATAGTAACAGCACAGGACTGGCTTTATTGTGCTGAGGAATTATTTAAAGATGTAAATCTGGAGGGAACAGAAGCTCTATTTTCCTGCAGGAGTGGATTAATAAAGTGCTTTCTATTTGACTACACTGTTGATCCTTTATTTTGTTGGGTTAAAGGTCAAATCTTTTAATTACACTGAATCAATTTTCAACAAAATATAATGATGCACGACATATAATTATTGCAGCATTTAAAACTGCTTTAATATCACAGATACAGCCATGGTGAAGTAAAACTGCTGACAACATGCAATAATGATCATAATAGCACAGGACTGGCTTTATTCTTGAGAAATTATTGAAATATATAAACCTGGAGGTGTATCACTATAGTGCTGTCTATTTGCACTGATTACTTATTTTCCTATTGCGTTTCTCAAATATTAAGCTTTACTCTGATCAAAATATGAGGATGCGCAACATTTTTAATAATCATTGTATTTTTGAAGGTCATGTGACTGAAGACTGGAGGAATAATGCTGGAAGTACCATTTTCACATAGAAGACAGCTTTTATTCTTTATATTTCCAATAATTCAGAATATTTATTGATCATAAATGCAGCTTTGATGAGCAGAACATTGTCAAAATACATTATTTTTCTTATTATTAAAACACTGAGTTTCAACACTAGCTTTTAACCATATTTGTACACATATTATTTTTGAGGACATTTTGCAACAGATCAAACAGATTAAATCAATGCCTCGATGAGCAGAAAAATTGTCAATATGTGTGAGGTTGGCGCCAGTGGTGTAGTGGTAGTGTTGACACATGCACTCCGCTGCTCACAGCGACCCGAGTTCTGTTCCTGCCTCAGTCCTATGCTGATCCTTGCCATCTCTCTGCTCCCCAAACATTCCTGTCGACAATCACTTACGGTCCATTAAAGGTGTAAACCCAGAAAAAAATTATTTTAAAAAAATAATAAAATGTGCATTGTTATTAATAAAGCATCAACTTCACCAAGATTAGATTTTAAAAACTGGAAGACAATGTTTGAGAATGCACAAAACAAATTTAATGAAGCGTAATTTAAACCCTGATTTCTGGGTAATTTTTAAGCAACGATACTAAAAGAAATCAATTACATTTTACTACATATTTACATAGGAAACTGCTTTGATTTACTTTTTTTATATTTAAAACATTTGATAATTTTTACTGACATTTTGGTAACAAAAGCAGCCTTAAAGAGCAGAAAATTAAGTCAAAATGCATCATTACTGTTAAAACACTGACTACCAACATTACCTTTCCACAATTGCTGATCTAATGATTTAGATGTATTAAAACAAATATTAAGTGCATTAATTCTGGATGTAATTGTGAATGACACTATAACAGAAATCCAGCCATAACAGACATTTTGCTGTGTATTGACATGGGAAGTTGCTTTTATTTGTTTTAAATTTTAGAAATACTTTTACTGAGATTTCATCATATATGCAGTCATAAGCAGAAAATGTACAATTACTATTGAAACGCTAGCTTTTGAAAACCGGTGCAGAAATATCTTTGAGAAAGCATTGAAACATGACAAACACACACCGATCACAATTTGGCCTCAACAAAATGAAAGCATGGATCATCCTGCCTTGTATCAGCGGTTCAGGCTGGTGGTGGTGGTGTAATGGTGTGGGGGAGATTTTCTTTGGGTCCATTAGTACCAATTGAGCATCAACGCCACAGCCTACCTGAGTATTGCTGCTGACCATGTCCATCCCTTTATGAGCACAGTGTCTCCATCTTCTGATGGCTACTTCCAGCAGGATAACGCAGCATGTCATAAAGCTCAATCATCTCAGACTGGTTTCTTGAACATGACGATGAGTTCACTGTACTCAAATGGCCTCCACAGTCACCAGAGCTCAATCCAATAGAGCAGCTTTGGGATGTGGTGGAACGGGAGATTGGCATCATGGATGTGCAGCCGACAAAACTGCAGCAACTGTGTGATGCTATCATGTTAGAGATTCAACAAGCTACTGGAAATATTCCTCAGAGATTTTGCCATGAAGGATTAAAGCAGTTCTGAAGGCAGGAGGGGTCCAACCTGATACTAGTAAAGTGTACCTTATAAAGTGGCCGGTGAGTCTAAAAACAGAAGACCTGGATGTAACATCAGTTTTAAACACTCATATCCACAGAGGTGTTAAATAAGAGAGAGCCGCTCGGCAGGTGTTGTTTTTATAAATTTTATTCACATATTCCTTGACGTCGAATTCAAGAGTGATTCATATCAGGATTCATTTCAACAGATTCCTTGCAGCACCAAAGCCAAAACACGAGACGTGTTGAATGAACTCACAGAAACACTTAGAAAACAAACAAAACAAAAGGTTTTTAAATGTATAAAACAATTTTTAAAAAGCCAATAACGAAGCCCCGAAAGCACACAGACCCCGCCCCCAACTAAAACAAGCATGATTACCCCCCCGCCCCGCGCTAATCATCAGGATACAGTACGTCAAACGCTAACCATTGTTATGCTAAACTACGCTTTACCAAACAGAAGCAAACGAACGGGAAACTGAAGAAAAGCAGTGCTGATTGGCTCCTCATACGGTCTTCTGCTGACCCTTCTTCCCAATCAGAGACTTGTGGATGTGAGGAATGACTCCTGCGGACGCACAAACACACAACAAAACATCAGCACCAATCACAACAACACATACACTACACAAACATCACCAATAAAACACTTGCATTATTCATACATGTATAATTATAAACACACACACAAATATATATATATGTGTGTGTGTATATATTTATGTGTATACGTATGTGTGTGTGTGTGTGTGTGTGTGTGTGTGTGTGTGTGTGTGTGTATGTGTATATATATATATATATATATATATATATATATATGTACACAAACATCACCAATAAAAAAAAAATTAGCACAATGTATACGCTATTATATTTATAATCCAAACATCGCCACTAACAGAACACGCGCTACTACAGACAGAGCCACTACTGAAATCACACCACTTTTCCAGAACTTTAAATACATTTTCATGACGTAATGTCTATGAGGTAAATAAAAACACACGCAACAAATTTATATGGTGGACTACTTTAGTTTGACAAACTAATAACCAATTTTCAAATATTTGTTCAAGTCATGGAATTTCCCAAAACTTTGGGTTTTTCCACATTTTTCAAAATGCCTTGAATGTTTGCCGGACCATACGAGCCCTGTATACATGACCTGTACTGCATCGGCGCTGCATGTAGACCGGTCACAATCATTTCTGTTGTGCATTAATCAGAAATAGCTTCTATAAAGTGATTGTATAGCGATTATACAACAGCGCAGTAATTATTATATAGCAGAGCTGCATGATTAACCACAAAAAAAGATAGCGATCTCATTTCAACCCCCTTGACCAGAAGTGTCCAAACTCAGTCCTGGACAGTTTTGCTCCAACACTACTCAAACACACCTGAACCAGCCAAATCAAACTCCTACTAGAAACTCCTGGGAAGTTTGTTGAAGCAAGTTGTTTGTTGGAGCTAAACTATGCAGGACAGCAGCCCTCCAGAACCCAGTTTAGACACTCCTGCCCTAGACGATCTTAATCCAGCATTTCTGCGATTCTGCCAATTTTATTTTCAAGTTCAGGAGAGAAGGCGGCTGCACGAGTCTTCACACGTTCCTCAGTGACATGGACACCTCCAAATGATGTGTAAAGAGTCACATAATGTATTTATAAGGTATAATTCACTTAAAAATGCCATTTCTGTCTTCATGCAATGAAATATCTGAGGCACGAAATCACACATGACGCGAGCTGCTACCATGAGAGGGCGCGCCCTACGTGACAATAGACGTGCATGCGTCTACTTTAGTGAACAGAACCTGCATATGTTGCGAGTAACGGGTAATACAGTTGTAAATAATATTGAGTTTGTGGCACAGAGTGATCGTTTTGGAGCCGCGTGCGAAGTGTGAACAGCACTTAGCAGTCAGAATGAAACCGAAAGTGTGCACTTCATTTAAATTATCATTTCGCATTTTAGAGGGATTACAGCAAGCGTTTGATGTGTTTTTTCTTTCATAGCGAACACACAGTTGTGCATAAAAAATAAATGTTTACTGTGTCAGTATAACTACTCTATCAGATTATATTCAACAATATATAGGCTAATGGCAAATGTCGGATTTTACTAGTGAATTAAATCTCTAGTGTGTGTAACATTTGTTCTTTAAGTAAAAAAATCTTCAAATGTAAACAACTTACAAAAAACATCCCATAATGTAAATAAGTTGTTGTTTAATAAGAATGTCAAGAGTTCAGAGAGAGCCTTATAATTCCAAGGTGACGATACGTTTAAGAGTAACGATAATAGCAAACTCATATTAACCTTTATTCTACATCTACAGAATAATGAGAAAAATCATGATCTTTATTTTAAGCTAAATAATCATGATTTACATTTTATAATATAGCAGTTATTTATATTTGCTGTGCTTTTATACTTCACTGTCATAATCATTCCTGCACTGTTGATTCATTGCTATGTAATTTCTACACTTACATTATTACTACACTGAATATAAAGCAATTCTAAAAATTAAACCTTAGACTAGGCCGATCACAAAGTTTACACAATTTGTCATTTTAAGACCATTTTATACCAAAATTCTTATTGCAGTGATCATACAAAAGTCTAATGAAAACCGGCTTAAAGAAACACAAACCTCACATCCATGAGGGTCAAGCCTATTTTAATGAATTCCTGTGCTGTTGTATAATCTCTATATAAAGTTACTTTCACGACTTTAAAATAATCATATACCGCAATCCTTTCTGTAACAAACAACATGCGACTAAACTAATCTCAAGGTTATGTCTTTTATAAGTAAATGGTTCTAAAATTGTCAATAACGTCACTTGTCAAAGTTTGTGAACAGATAAGCACAACAAATAAATTAAACTTTCAGCTTTTGCTTCTTTTGAAGTTTGATACACGTTTATACATCACAAATTGCAATGATGATGTTATTGAAAATTGCTTGTTCATGAACATTTCCTGCTGGTTCTCAAACTATTTCATAACTGTAACGAGGCAATTCAATCATAACTCAAGCAGTTGTAAAGCAGTTATCATAGCATTATTTATCAATATGTGGCTCTTTTTGGATTCTCCGAAGTTAAAAATGTCAAATAGGAAATAAATTGGAACCATTTTGAGGGATGTAAACGACAACAATGGTCTATACAAGAATACTCTGTGCCAGTGGTGATTATAGTGATTCTACAACTGTAATAAATGGAAAAAGGTATCAAATGTTAGGGGATAAAAGCTTAGGATTAGGCTGGATACAAATATGTGATGTCAGAAATTGATACGGCTCATTTATAATCACGTTACAGCTCTTCCATAACCTTGCCAAAACAGCACTGCTGGGCTACATTCATTACAGGCTGATAGTGAAGCCGCCTCCGCAACTCTACTGGTTTGACCACTTATTCCCATTATTTATTTAATTCCCACTGTTTGATTTCTGAATGACATTTGACCTTATTACTGATACACTGTAGTGTACAATTACATTTTTCGGATAATTTCTTCTTTGAATTAGCCTGTTTTTTTATGTTTGTTTCCATATTTTTATTATTTTTATTTATTTTCTGCCTGACCAAATATCAATCTTATAAATGAACAGCAGATTGAAGGACTTTTTAAAAGCACTTTTAATCTTAAATCAATTCCTTCATTTATTTAGATCACCTTGGATGATCCAAACTTTTTCTATGCAGCGCATCTGCATAAATTATGATACAAGCAAAAATAAATAAACAAAAAACAGTGCTTTATGGGTTTCTATGAAGTCGAACAGTATTCAGGTACAGAATTGCACAATCAAATGTAAAATAACGTGGCCATTGTACAAATAATAATAAAAAAAAATGTCTCTTTAAATCTTTACTAATTATTCTAAATCTGAGATGCGACTACTACAGATGCACACATTGTGATATCAATGCTATATTGTGCAGTCCTAATTCATGCGTCTGACATTCAAGCATATTTTTAAGCAGCCTGTGAACCCTGTGTAAATAAAATAAATAATTTCTTCATTAGTGTATCGGCGCAGTCTCTCACCTCCTCCAGCAATGGTGGCCTTGATAAGCGAGTCCAGCTCCTCGTCTCCGCGGATGGCCAGCTGTAAATGTCTGGGAGTGATTCGCTTCACCTTCAGATCCTTAGAAGCGTTTCCAGCCAACTCCAGCACCTGCGCACCAACAAGCCACACACCTGCTTTACACACCATTATTATAGCGCTATACAGGATCATTACACGCCTCTGGAATGTTGAGACGGACCAATCAGAATCAAGGAGCATTCTCTCAGATAAACTTAGACTAAACTAATAACACAGACACAGCCGGGTACAGGCAATCATCTTTCACCATTAGTAAATATGAGAATTCGTATTTAAACATCTAAAAAAGTTGATTAAAGTAGCTTTCTATTGATGTTACATTTGCTTGTGTTGGACAGTATTTGGCCGAGATAAAATTACTTGGAAATCTGAGGGTATAACAATAATAATAATAAACATAAACCCTGGAAAAGGTGCATTTAAAGTTGAAGTTCTCGGTTATGCACATTACTGATCAGAAAATGAGATTTAATACTTTTATCAGAAGAAATGTACAAAATATCTATATTGAACAAGGTCTTTAATATTCTAATGATTATTCTAATTTTACACTATTCCCATTGGATTTTTTTTTATCTGGAAAGAGTCTTATTTCTGCTAGTTTGGCTGGAATAAGTGTTTATTTATTAGTGCATGTTTTGTTATATTGTTTATATCAGGGTCAATATTATTAACCTCTTTACTAACTGTTTTTAGATTTTATTCTCTACAGAACAAACCACTGTTGTCCAATAACTTGTCTAATTATACCTAATAACTTAGTCATTTTTTTTATAATGGAATGGTAACTCTTTTATAACTGAACAGCATTATATTTATTACAGAATGATAACATTTCTAGAACTCAATAATAATGTTTTAATTAGTATCTTGCAAATTAACTAGTAAATTATCATGCGCGGTCATCATGGCAGGAAAAAGAAATCAGTTATTAAATGTAAACAAAACTTAGTTTAAAATCTAACGTTTAATAGCACTAGGAAAATATTTTAACTTATTTTAATTTTAAACTTTATGCTTGTCTATCAGGATGTTTGGCGCCCTCTTGTGACTAAGTAGTTGTTTTTTTTTAAACTGCTAGTAAAGTACTATGTCTCAGATCAATGTTTGGCATCTAATAGTTTAGGTTAATAAAGAGCCTCTACAAGTAAGGACTGTCAAATACAAATACTTATATGCTGCGTTCCAGACAACATGTAATTGAGTTTTCCTACTTGATAAATAAATGAGCTTAAACTTCAGTTTGCCATTTTGTATTAGTTAAAGCGTGTTTTTTCAGGTTAATAACGCAATTAATTTACTAAATCTCCATAATGTGCATGTAAAGCTAATTAAGAACCATTTAAAGAACACTCGTTTAAAAGTTGATGCACTTTAAAAAGTATTTTAATAACAGACGCCATGTTTGATCTGGTTTTAATTTGCTTATAGTAAACATTTAGACTCTAGGTAAAAATTAATTCATTAAATAAACCCTGATGTTACCTCAGCGGTGAGATACTCCAGGATAGCAGCACTGTAAACCGCAGCTGTAGCTCCGACACGGCCATGGCTGGTGGTTCGGGTCTTCAGGTGCCTGTGAATACGGCCTACAGGGAACTGAATAAAAAAAAAATTTTAAAAAAGACATTAAGGTTAATATTGCAGGTTCACTTCCAGAATTAATATTCCCACTTGCTAGCTTGGTTTTGTTGGATTTGCTCTTCAGTTTTTGGGTTTTATGTTTATATTACACTAAACTGTAAACACTGGATTTCAATCTACTAGAACGTCATCCATGTTAAGCTACTTTCACAATCAACATCGTAAAAGTGCTATAGAAATAAAGATGAATTAAAATTAAGCTTTCCTGATCTTCTTGAGATGCACTGCAAAAATACAATTATTTATTTATAACTTGTGTTATCTCTAGCACAAATACCTACAAATTCTTAAGATTAATAAGCAAAACATAACAAATGGTAACGTTTTGCTAAGAGAACTAATGTTCTGCTAACTGGATGGTAACATTTTTAGAATCATAACATTTTGATAAGCAAATAGTAATATTTTGATAACTGGTTAGTACCTTTTATAACTGGTAACATTTCAAGAACTGAATGGTCACATTTAGATAACTGACCAGTAACATCGATAACTGAACTACTGAGATGACTATGAAAGTTCATTTGATTTGACTACAGATCAAAGACAGATTTATTTACAGATTAACTTATTGAATAACTAATGTTTCAATAACTGAATAACATTTTGGTAATGTTTTTATAATGGCAATACATTTATAACCCAATGGTAACTTTTTGTAACTGAACAGTAATGTTTTAACAAGCTAATGTTATTTTAATAGCCGAATGGTAATGTTTTTAACAGAATGGTAAGGTTTTAATAAGCAAATGTTAAAAGTTGTAATAAATGAATGGTAACATTGTTTTTAACTGAATAGTAATGTTTTAATCAGCTAGAGTTATCATTTGGAGATCTGAATGGTAACTTTAACAGAATGGTAATGTTTTATTGAGCAAAAGTTGATCAATTAATGATAATGTTTTCATACTTAATGTTTTGTTGAGAAGGTAAACTTAATGACTGAACAACGTTTTAATAACCAAGTAGCAACCAAACAGAACTGTTTTGCCAAGTGACCACTGATGTTTTAGTAAAACGCCAACGCTAAATTAAGTAAGTTTTTCCTTAAGCTAAATAACCTGCACACGGGAGAAGTGAAAGTAGTTTCGAAAATATTCATCATTCGCATCTGAATTGTTTCTATACAATTCATCTATTTTACTCTTTTTTTTCTTTCATGTCTGATCTGAGCAATTGACCATGTGTGGTGAACGATCCTTAGGAGTCTAATCTAAAGAAATAATCTATAATTAGATTTTTCCGTGAAAATTTTTATTAATTTTATAATTTTATTAAATAAGTTTGGTCAATAAATTAAAAAAATATATATAAATAATATGTAGATCAGCTTTATTTATCCATTTTATTTAATTTTCCCCCTCTAACAAATTGACTGGGTGTACTCAGTTTTGGAATGTGATCTTAAGCTTTCTGTAAGTAAAGATTAGTCAGTACCAAAGCCAAAACTGAACCTAATGTATATGCATGAAAATGCATCACTGTAAAGCATCCTGCAGAAAATATTCATTTAAAAGACAGATTTGTGATGGTGAAACTTATTCATGCCGAGCACCATATTAAAATTCCATCAATTTAATTGATCTGATCATTTTAATAAGACTGTATGTGCAGAATGAAAATTGTTCTAGCTCCAGCATTATATGTAGATTATCATTATAAGGAAAGATCAGAGTCTATTCCTCGTCAGAGCACTGGACAATAGACATGCATTTAAATGCTAGGTGGGAATGCTAATGCATCTCTTTTGACTAAATGTGATCAGAACACATCTTAACAGCAGGTGTGAACGGAGACTACTTATTCCTCGTCTAGGATCATTTAGCTCTTTGGAACTGACTCTGAACTGAATGTATTGAAATCAATTGAGATGCAAAACAAATAATACAATTGGAGTAAGAGTTGTGGATGTGTTCATTTAATCTCTGAACGATTCACACTTCAGTCGTTTTTTACATTAGTAGTGCAATCAAAAATTTAAAACATCATCTATATTTCCTCAGCCTCTACTTGTTTTTAAACCTTTATGAGTGAGTTTCTTTCTTCTGTTAAACTCAAAAGATGTTTTTTTTTAACCTATAACCATCGACTTCCATAGGATTTCATACTACAGAAGTCAATGGTAACAGGTTTTCAGCATTCTTCGAAATATCTTCTGTGTTCAACAGAAAATAAAATGCTCAAAGGTTTTAAACTTGTACACAGAGCACATTTTCATGTTTTGGTGAAGTATCACTTTAAATATAGTGCTGCTCTGTTTACAGCGGTCACCATGAAAACAGGATATGGCTGCTGTTCATCAGCGTCTCCTGCTGGCAGAGAGTGAATCTGCAGCTTATTCGCTGTTTCCTTTACATGAAATATGACAATAATTCTGCTTTTGCATCAGATTGAGAAAATACAGTCTGATTTAGATTAAGAGTGGCTCATTGTGCATCCTTGCTTGGATCGTGATCAAAACACAGTGGTTTGCTGCTAATTTAAAAGACATTAAAAAATTAAGATGGAAAGTGACATGCAAAACCGGTTTATATGAAGATGTATATTTTTCAGTTCCTGTGCCTTAATCTGGGGTAGTTTTTTTAGGGATTTTGAAGAGATTCCATATTTCTGTACTTTATTTAATGTGTGATATTGTTGGTATGAAGAGATCTTATTTATTCCTGTCCCTTATTTAATTTGGGATTGTTGATATAGAGACCTTTTCCGTACTTTAAATGTAGTTCTGCTATATAAATTTCACAAAGAAGTGTGCAGCAATTACCCAACAAATGGACACTTTCTATTTATACTATGCATGTATGTTTTGTTGGAGTCAGTACCTGCAGACCAGCTCTCTGAGATCTGGAGACGGCTTTCGTCTTGGCTTTTCCACTGTCTTTTCCTGCTTTGCCTCCTGCCTGTGGAAGCACAAGGACAAAATATTTCACACAATGTAATCACACTGTGGTCAACATACTTTTTTTTTGCTTTTGCCTTTAAAAATCTAACTCAACAGAAGACAGACATAGGGAAATCTCATTACCTCACATTAATTAGAGATATAAAAGCTATATTTTAAAGTAATATGATGCAAAAAAAACATTGAAATGCAGATTCATATGGAAGCTTTTTTGCCAGCCATGGAAAATTACCTGCTGGCATCATTTCAGATGGATTTTCTCTCAAAATTCTGAGTTTCTCACTATCTGAGCACGCTTTTTGGCAGTTCTGCATTTGTTTGTTTTTAATTCTGGAGGCTTATTGCAGCATTTGTAAACAATTTCTCTTATTTTTTTTATTCTTTGTTCTTGCAGTCTGTTTTACATTTATTAAAAGTTGCAATTCTGTTATCCTGTCACAACTATAATTTTATTTCTTAAAATTAAGAAATGGCTGCTCCCAAATTACATTATGCTCAATATAAAAGTAAATTTTCCAAATATAACGCAAAACACAAAAAAGCATTTGGAGAATCTGCATTAAAGTTATTTTGTGAAGCAACGTTTCATTTTCTTGATAATTCTGACTAATAATGTGGCAAACAATTACACTGAAGAGCAGATTCACATGGAAGCTTATCTCAGACAGGGAAAACCACACATACTCAGAGGGGTTTTTCAGAGTTTGGCGATTTCTGTGCACTTCTGCTGTTTTTTGATTGTTCGTGTCCACAATTTTAACTTAATGACTTGCAAATCTGCGCCGTTACTTGCATTTTAAACTATATTTCTTCATATTTTAATGTGTTTTGGCCATTTCTACGAATTCTTTTTATAATCATCATCAGTTCAAGAATCTGCTGTTCGTGTTCAACATTATAACTTTATTTCTTAAAATTAAAGTTCGCCGCTTCCATTTTAAGTGTAACACGTTCCCGTACAACTTATTTCACGCAAATGGGAGTAAAACGAGTTCACACGTCGGAGCTAAAATACAAATTTCGATGAAAAATGGTCACAACTGCGAAATTTGTCGAAAGCTTTCTTTGTAATCTCGGTATTTAAAGTAAAATAACAGACAATTCTTAACCTTTAGCTTATTTAACCTTATTTAAACCACGAGCCAGCATGTCAAACAAAAGAAAATGCGGGATATATTTGATTCTGCTCTTAGGCTACTAGATATAGTTTTAAAATCACCAAACTACGATCTGATGTGTAATTATTAAACACCAGCGAGCTCTTTTGATGGATTTTGCAGATTATTGCAGCAAACTGACTTTATTCTCGCGGTCGGCGCTCGTTTAGCAAAACCGCGCGCTGATTAAAGCTTCACGAGCTCGAATCCAGAGCCGTTTACACACAATAAATCAACTAATTGTAACCTGCGTTACAAACATCGGATAATTAAGAACTTATCTTACCATTTCGCCAGATGAGCTGCTTCTCTTTTCGCTGGAAACGGAGGGAAAACACAATGATGAGCACTTCAGCGATAGCGCGGTATGTTCTAGCCTAATAACCAATCAGCGAGGGCCGTCTTGGTTTGAAATGGACGTTTCGTCCAATCACAGAGCTTCTCTGTATCTGGGTGATTTTTTTCAAGTTCCTTTTTTTCTCTACCTAACAGCGCACCAGGCTTGTGCGCACGCGCGCCGTAGTCGTCATTCATTACATTAAAACCGATTAGAAAATGTATTATTTTGATGTGTTAGAAATGTTTCGATCACGATCAAATTATAAACTGATAAACTGGCTCATACAGTGAACGATTCCAAAACTACAATACATAACATAAATGATGGGACTGAATATGTTTGCTCAGTTATTTTATTTATTTAAATATCTTTCTTATCGGCTTTTTATCTACGTCGTTTGGATACAATTGTAAAAACGCAGTTGTGTCCATTTTACTGGCTTTAACAACCACTTAAAGTAATTATACAGAAGTTAAACTTGGTTAATAAACATAAACAGGGTGCTAAAACTGATATTTCTTCCATATGATGTAATTATTTAATCCTCTTCATAGTTCAACCTCTTTCAAATTCTTTCCCGTTAACAGATTAGTGTTTTAATATGCTTTTTTAATACAATTTCACAGTTATTAGCTGTTAAAATCAGTAAAATGGAGTAATGCGTTTGATTCTTTTGTCCACATTGCGATAACCTTTCCATTGTTCACTTCTTACCTTAACTTCGTGCGCATGCGCGATGCGTTTGCCGCCTTTTAGTAGGCTACTTTTAAAAAAATGGTCATAAACGACTACATCCCCACAATAGTAACCACAATACAGAATAAAACATGGATATTGTATGATGAAATGAACGTTCCTCGAGTAAAATATAAAAATAAACGATGTTTAACAAAATACCTTCATCCATACCAACTTAGCAGGCTCCTTAAGGTTTGTTTGCTTGTTTCCACATAAAAAATAATATTTATGGTAAATACTATAGTGTTTTTAAACCATAGTATGGTAAAGTATTGGAATCAATGTGTTACACTAATTCTACAGATGTACAAAAACTACTAATACAAACAAATGACCCAATAGCAGACTAGTTTTACAAATACAATGCACCACAATAAAAATGTTATTATTTATTTCAGTTTAACCCTTCAAAATAGTTAATACATACTGTAGCCGCTTTAGCTATATGGTTTTAACAGCACTATATTGACTAAATGACTAATATTTTGGAGTTTTGGAAACTGCTTTTGTGTTTCAGAAAGAAATAATTACCAAGGCAAAATTTAATCGAAACATTAATATATAAATAAAGAATGTTAATTGATTTAAACTCAACTAAAACATGATTACCATAACGTTATACAAAAAACACAAACCGAAAGAGACCAAAATATCTCGATTTCCGCCAATCCATTCATGATGCTTGAAAAATAATTTTAAATTTCATTAGTTGTTTACACTTATGAGTGATGCTGGTTTATACTTAAGCTTAAATAAGTATTTAAATTCCTTTTCGTTTAATTTGTAAACAGTAAACGAAATGCTGTTTTAATGTTTATTTATATTTAAATCCACAATTTTATTAATGTAAACATAGAGAAATAAAGCTGATCTAAACAAATATTGTATGCCCCTATTTTTAACTCTTAACTTATAAACTTTTGTCCCTTTGAATCTGCTGGTGGCTTTGGCATACATGTCCAAACTAAAGCAACTAAAATACCATGACACTGCAAGTGTAAGATTTAATAAGTTATTGCATATGTAGTGACTTTGGCATAAAGATAATGTGGTCAAAGCCCTAGTAAAGAGTATTAATGATTCAGACACTGAGTGTGCAGTGAGTGATAAACTGAGTAATGATGGATTAAATATATAATATTCCTCCTAATATACAAACGCTCATCTAGCCTAATGACTTCTATATTCCATATTTGTATGAATACTATAATTATGCTATGATTACTCCAAGTTTCAGGGTGCTTTGTGGCATGGCTATCCCGAAATCATTCATTAAAACAATTGACGATCTTTATAGTGTAAAAAAGTCAATAAAACTATTTAAAATGATGCAATTCATGCATTGTTTGTCTGAACACCTTCTGGAGTTTGAAACGAGATGAGGGTTATTATTATCCATCATGTGCACAGCGCTTTTTTTCCTATGTCGCACTGACCTCTGGAATTAATGACCGACGTCACGTTTGACGTCATCGCGCATACAATAGTGGACGTTCAGCAGCTGATCCACGAACAGATTTGTGAAGCTCATCATAATCAAAAGACTGGAAAATTGGCTGATCCTGGGTCAGATCTTAAACAAGGCAATGCTAAAATACATTTGCATTTATAATCTACATTAGAGTATAGGAGGTACAAAATCGCAATAAAGTTGCAACAGAAATAAAATAAAAATATCTCTCATATATTAACTATTTTTCTGTAAAACACTGCAGCAATATCTAATATATGTGCAGTTTTAATTAACAGATAGATTATTGGACATATGAGATAAAATTTTATTTAAAAATAAATAATTTAAAGCTTATTTTGTAACTATAAAGTTAGTTACCTTCTTAATTGCTATAATTTTCTGTAAAATACTACATCTATTCTAATTTACTTTATTGTTATCAGCTAAATTTTGTCAACAGCAAGACATTATTAGGAGGAGCGTCATTTTCTATTCTTTTTTCTATAACTTTTATTTAACTGATTCAACAAACAACTTTAATGCAGATATGCTGTTTGAATGATATTAAAAATATATATACATGAGATTGAGCCGAGCTCCAGAAGGAAAGGAAATGCCTGCGCACGGCTGGGAAAGTGTAGAAGGGATACAGCTGCGGATCCTCGCATAACTGTTATGACACTGTAGCCTGCAACAGTAATTAAACATTTACATTACTGTGACTGTTGGGTGTAGGGTTGGGGTAGACATTAATAAGATAAAATTCAGTGGGTAATTTAAAATATTTTATGAATAACACTTACATTTTCTGTTTGTACATTATTGTGATGGTTGGGTTTGAGGTTGACGTTAAAAATTTAATTTAATGGGTAATTGAATTTATAATATGAATAATACTCAGTATAATTACTGTTCATACATTACTGTGGTGTTTGGGATAGACATTGATAAAATATGTTATGTGTAATTTAATCAATAATAAGAATAATGCTCAGTATAATTACTGTTTTTACTGTGAGGGTTGGGCTTAGGGTCGGGGTAGACGTTATTAAAATACAATTTAACTTATTATTTAATTAGTATTATTCGGTATGATTACTGTTTTTGCGTTCCTGTGATGGTTGGGGTTGACGTTAATAAAATACAATTTAATCTGTAATTTAATAAATAATACTTGGTGCAATTGATGTTTTTACATTAATTTTACAGTTAGGTTTAGCCTCGGATAAACCTTAATCAAACACAATCAATTTAATAAATGTAATAAATAATAATTCTCGTTAACTTCCGGCCGCAGCTGTATCGCTTCAAGCACGAGTCGGGTGGAGGAAGCGTCACTGACCAATGAAGAGCGAGGGCACCGCTCACACGCTCTAGCTGACAGGCGCGCAGACCAATAGAGAACCAGGACCGGACCCGAGGCCAGTGCAGTGTATCCGCGCTGGAGTGTGTGAGGGAGAAGCTGCTGGAGGTGCTGAAGATGGCGGATGGAGACAGCGGGAGCGAGCGCGGCGGCAGCAGCGGCGGCCTCCAGCACTTCCAGCGGGAGCAGGAGACGCAGGAGCTGGCCTCCAAGCGCCTGGACATCCAGAACAAGCGCTTCTACCTGGACGTCAAGCAGAACGCGAAGGGCCGCTTCATTAAGATAGCGGAGGTGGGCGCCGGGGGCTCCAAGAGCCGCCTGACTCTCTCCATGTCCGTGGCGGCGGAGTTCCGCGACTACCTCGGGGATTTCATCGAGCACTACGCCCAGCTGGGGCCCAGCAGCCCGGAGCAGATCGCGCAGTCGTCCGGGGGCGATGATGGAGGACCGCGCCGGGCGCTGAAGAGCGAGTTTTTGGTGCGAGAGAACCGCAAATACTACCTCGACCTGAAGGAGAACCAGCGCGGGAGGTTCCTGCGCATCCGCCAGACCGTCAACCGTGGACCGGGATTCGGAGTCGGCGGGGGAGGCGGGCCGGGAGGCGGCGTGCAGGCCGGACAGACCATCGCGCTGCCGGCGCAGGGATTAATCGAGTTCCGGGATGCGCTCGCGAAACTGATCGACGACTACGGCGGAGAGGATGAAGAGCTGAGTGGGGGTCCCGGAGCCGCGGGGGGCTACGGGGAGCTCCCGGAGGGCACCTCCATCATGGTGGACTCCAAGCGCTTCTTCTTCGACGTGGGCTCCAACAAATACGGCGTGTTCCTGAGGGTCAGCGAGGTCAAGCCCAGCTACAGGAACTCCATCACCATCCCGTTCAAGGCCTGGGGGAAGTTTGGAGGAGCCTTCAGCCGCTACGCCGAGGAGATGAAGGAGATCCAGGAGCGACACCGCGATAAGATGTACGAGCGCAGAGAGGAGTCCGAGGGAGAGGATGTGGACGACGACTGACCGGACGAGCGGAACAACAAGTGCATGAACTCCAATAGCCTACTAAAATATTGATGGGACAGAAAAGTAGATCTGTGAAGTCTCTGTGGTGAGGGTTTGGGGAGGGGGGGTCTGTGTTGGAGCCCTGAGGATGGGGTCTGATTTATTCCTGATGCTGCCCGGCCCTGTCAAACCAGCAAGTTTAATTGTCTTTGCCCACAATTAAACCTTTGTTACATCCGGCTGCTGAATTTCTACAAGCGGAACATGTGTGATCGAACCAGGCGATGATAAGGGTGCATTACTGTCCAACATGTGTTTTCAGAGGGGAGATGTTTAGTATATATGTTATATATAGCGTCACTGGTCTTCATGGTGTGTAGGCAGCATGGGACTTTCGCAACCAAAAGTTGTGTGTGTGTGTGTGTTGAGATTATTTTATAGTAGATGTTCCCTAAGTTATTCTGTTTGGGTTTGCGTTCACGCATCGACACACGACTTTGAATGAGTGCTGATTTTGGTTTGACCGCTGGTTTTGTGTTGATGGAGGTTTTTAAAGCACCAGTTCCTAAAAGAGGCGTGAGCTATTTGATGGAAAAACTAATAATTGATATTATGGACCGTGAGATATTTTGGTTTTGGGGTCAAATATGACAAGCTTTGTCTTTTTTTTTTTTTTGACTTGGGTCCAAGTCTCTGAATATTGATGTGTGATATTAGTTATTATAGAGGACAGAGCTTTGCGGGGGAGTGTATTTTCACTCCATCCCCTTCTGTGTTGTGTTTTTTTAATGTAAGATCATTCTTTATGAGAGAATAAGTAAATAAACCAGCATATTTTTGAATACACAAAGTACAAATTATATATAAAGTACAGAATTATTAACGCTTGAAAAGCTAATTTTGTAAAAAAGTAAAGCTGGGATTTGAAGATCCTCCAGTGTATCTGTTTTGTGAGAGTATAGCAACATATATGAGATTATCCCCCCACAGTCCTTTAAGTTTACAGCACACTCTTCATTATGTTTTCTTATATGTGACTAATATATATGGAAGGCCGAACACACTTCACAATATGTCAAAATAGATTTATTTGGATCTACAGTTTGACCTTGTCAATTGAGAGGGGTCTGGCTGCAGACCTGGTGCAGTGCAATCTGGGATGCATCCAATGCTTCTTAATGGGCTCACCTAACCCTACCCGTCACCGTGACGTCACTAGCTCCATTTGTGTCTGACATTGCATCGCTGAGTGATGCAGTCTCAGTTTGCATCATAAAGGCTGCATCCAGATACTATTGTGTCAATTAGGCATGTGCCGGTATAAGATTCTGACGGTATGATAACCTTTCACGGTATTGCGATTACTACTCTAAAATAAGTTATTTTTAAATATCTGGGTAAAAAAAAAACAATTTATTTTATTTTGTGAAAGTTTGAAGATATTTTGGAGCAGTAAACGTGTCAGGCTGAATAATTCAAATGAATCCCTGACCTCTTGTCTTCATTAGTTTCAAAAACACTGATTTCTTTACAATTTAACACGACATCTTTGGAGATCTTTTCTGCTGGAGATACTGTTGTCCGAAAAGTAATACAAAAACGTAACATTGCACATCCTTTAGGAACGATATTACTGAAAATGTTGGCAGTTTTAAAACCTTGACTTTTCCAAACCGAGGTATACCTTGAAAACGGTTATCATCCCATGCCTAATGTCAATGCATAAACCAGCACAACAGCCAATCAAACTGCTGCATTTGAGCGTATTTGCATATGAGACACAATATTGGAGCAGACACAGCGTTTATGCAGACTGACGTCCATAAATACAAATATGGACTGTCATAAAAACTGCAGCAACACATTTTTCAAATAAAACACAAACTCAATGGCCTTCCATAAATATCAGACGTCTTGCGAGTCCATTTCTGTGCATGGCCGTCCCACATTTGCCTTTTATTTAATTTATTGTTCTCGTATCTGCAGCTATATTATTGCATTTTTTTGTTTAGCCTTTCACCAAAAATAAATATTCTAAGAATAAGCAAGTAGACCAGTGGGTTATGATGGAGAAAGATTGTTAGCGTTGGGAATTTGTCATCTGTGCACTTTAGCAATTACACAAACTGCGATAAACTGGTGTCCATAAGGAAAAACAAGCTTATTTTCATGGTTGAGAGCAGCAGCCTCGTTTGGGTTCCCGTATTGTTAAAGGGGCAGTTCACCCACACATTTAATTAAGTCCTTTATGAGCTTTTATTTCCTGCTGACCACAAATTAACATTACAAACCGGTAGCCTTTAACTACTATATTAGGGAAAATACTACTAAATATAAATATCCTGATTTGTGTTCAACAGAAGGAAATCTTAAATAAGCAAAGAGTAATTCAATGATGACCCAGTAACATTGTGTGTGTGAACTGTCCCTTTAAGTGTTGACTAGCAGCTAAAAGGCATTAGCATGGACTCTGTTCTGTGATGAAACATCAGCGACTGGTATCCAGAATGGCTGCCGGATGCCAATCTCTGCACTTCCAGGCCTGCAGCAGCTGTTTCTCCTCAACAGCGAGCTGACTTCGCAGGCCGGCTATTTTAATGCGTGGAGTGTGAGCATTCCTGCGCTGCCGGCTGCAGATTCAGCTGTGCTGTGTTGAGGCACAAGAGGCTGATTGTTGAGGCGTCCGCATGCCTCTGAAAACACTATTACATCAGCAGACTGCGCTTACTGCACGTGACGGAAGCGTATGCTGGAGAAAACCCTGTCGCTTGATGCATTTCCTGCTAATAACCCTGAAATACACCCTGATTTGGAGGGCTGAGATGATCAACTGTTGCATTGCGATTGCTGAGATTTTCTGAACCCATCACAGTGCAGTCGATTCTGGGTTTACTTTTAACAGCAGATCACACTGTAGGTTGTGTTTTTAACAGCAGATGGCGCTCTAGGCTAGTTTTGCCAGCAAATGGTGCTAGTGTTTAACAGCAGTTGGCGCTCTAGGCTAGAGTTTAACAGCAAAAGGCGCTCTAGCCTAGTGTTTCACAACAGACGGCGCTCTAGGTTAGTTTTTACCAGAAGATGGCGCTAGTTTTAAACGTCCGATGGTGCTCTAGGCTAGTGTTTAACAGCAAAAGGCGCTCTAGGCTAGTGTTTAACAGCAGACGGCGCTCTAGGTTAGTTTAACTGCAAAAGCTGCTCTAGCCTAGTGTTTCACAACAGACGGCGCTCTAGGTTCGTTTTTACCAGAAGATGGCGCTAGTTTTAAACGCCTGATGGTGCTCTAGGCTAGAGTTTAACAGCAGATGGCGCTCTAGGCTAGTTTTTGCCAGCAAATGGAGCTAGTGTTTAACAGCAAATGGCGCTCTAGGCTAGTGTTAAACAACAGACGGCCCTCTAGGTTAGGTTTTACCAAAAGATGGCGCTAGTTTTAAACAGCAGATGGTGCTCTAGGCTAGTGTTTAACAGCAGACAGTGCTCTAGGCTAGCGTTTAACAACGCTTTAGGTTAGTTTTTGCCAGCAAATGTTGCTAGTGTTTAACAGCAGATGACGCTCTAGGCTAGTGTTTACCAGCAGATGGCACTCTATGCTTGTGTTTAACAACAGACGGCGCTTTAGGCTTGTGTTTACCAGCAGATGGTGCTCTTTGCTAATGTTTAACAACAGACGGCGCTCTAGGCTTAGTGTAAACAGCAGACGGCGCTCTAGGCTAGTTTTAAATAGCAGACGGCGCTCTAAGCTTGGTGTAAACAGCAGACGGCGCTCTAGGCTTGGTGTAAACAGCAGACGGCACTCTAGGCTAGTTTTAAACAGCAGACGGCGCTCTAGGCTAGTTTTAAACAGCAGACGGCGCTCTAGGCTAGTTTTAAACAGCAGACGGCGCTCTAGGCTAGTTTTAAACAGCAGACGGCGCTCTAGGCTAGTTTTAAACAGCAGACGGCGCTCTAGGCTAGTTTTAAACAGCAGACGGCGCTCTAGGCTAGTGTTTAACAGCAGACGGCACTCTAGGCTAGTCTTTAACAGCAGACGGCGCTCTAGGCTAGTGTTTAACAGCAGACGGCACTCTAGGCTAGTCTTTAACAGCAGACGGCGCTCTAGGCTAGTTTTAAACAGCAGACGGCGCTCTAGGCTAGTTTTAAACAGCAGACGGCGCTCTAGGCTAGTTTTAAACAGCAGACGGCGCTCTAGGCTTGTGCTTAACAGCTGTAGCTCTAGGGCACTAAAGGCTAGTGTTCAACAGATGGCATTCTAGGTTTGTTTTTACCAGCAGATGGCTCTATTTTTTAACAGCAAACTGCTCTATGCTAGTTTTTAACAGCAGACGGCACTTTAGGCTAGTTTTTAACGGCAGACGGCACTTTGGGCTAGTTTTTAGGACACTAGACTAGTCATGTACTGTAAGTGGTCAAATGTACTTGCTTTCTTAACTGTACTGATGATTTCATAAGAAATAATTGATTTATTCCTGTTTAATTATTGTACGATAATGCATTATTTTCCAATAATTCAACATCCTGGAGTGGATTATTGCGATTCTCCTCTGGCCTCTGCTAAATCCACTGTTCAGATGTTGTAATTGAGACCTTTGTCTGGTTTCTAGTGTCCTCTAAAGCCTTCTGCTGTGTTTTTTGAAGTGATGTTTGACTGTTGTAGCTGTGAAATCACTGAAATCATGCAGTGTAGTGATAGGCAGCTGTAAGGCTGCCGGAACTACTTTAGCTGTGTGTTTATCTCAGTATAATGTCACACTTTAGAATGCTCATCAGCCAATCAGAATCCAGCATTCAGCAGACCTGTAGTATATGGTATACAGCTCGATCTGTTGGTTATAACTAAGCTCAGAATCGCGGTCATTGAGAGAAGCGTGTCGCCGCTGCAGCTGTTAGCGTTTCTCCACCTGTTCTGCTAAACATTTGCCGCTCGGCTAAACTGAGCGTGTGTTGGGGACTCCAGGGAGGCTGAGCTGCTCTCTGAACAGTTTTCAGATCATGCATGTGTGTTTGTGTGTTCATTCTGATTGTACGAGTCTTCAAGACTAACACTGAATGTGTCTCAGTGAAGAGTGTTTGTTTGAGAATTGCAAATGACCGACAAAATAAGCCATTTCGACATGTTTCTCTCTTCACTTTGAGGTTTGCACATGGGTCAAAGATGGAAACAGGGTTTTTCCAGCATCAAAATGTGATTATTTATTTATTTCTAAGCAGAATTGTCATTACTAGTCACTGATTGTAACAATATGTGACCCAACACACTGTATGAGTCAAAAATTATTAGATTTTGTTTTATTTTTATGTCAAAAATCATTAGATTGTTAAGTAATTTTCCATGAAGTACACTTTCTACTGTAAATATATCAAAATGTCATTTTTGATTAGTAATATGCATTGCTAAATACTTAATTTGCACAACTTTAAAGGTTACTTTCTCAATATTTAGATTGTTTTTTAATATAACTCTCAGATTACAGATTAATAATATCTCTGACAAATATTGTCAATAACAAACCATCAATGGAAAGCCTATTTACTTTATTTAACGGTGTTTGCGATCACATATGTTAATAAAGGAATCATCTGATGACATATTAAATTAACATAATTTACAGGTCACCAAAAACCTTGAATTAAATTGTCCTATTAAATGCAATCAGATTGATCTGATCACTTATTATTTAATATATTTTAGTAAGTCCAGCTCTGTTAAACAAATATAATACTGAATTGCTGATTTCATGCACACGTTATCACAAAACACAGCCATTTCATGTATGTCAAGTGTGTGAAATCACTTTAGTTTATTGTATTTGATGCAGAATCCATCTTTGACCCTCCTGCATTAAATTCCT